GCAAATAAGTTGATTCAAAAAAATCTAATTTCTTTCAATGATTAAAATTTCCAACTTTCTCAATTTTATTGTCAAAAAAATCACCGTTATGCTATTATTAATAATGAAACAAGAACCTAAAGAGGTTGATAATCTCATGAAATCAGCAAAAACAATTTTCAACAGAATAAGCATTTATCAATAATAAAACCAACGTTTGCTTCTATTGTCCAACAAACATTTCAACCATCATTTAATATTTATTGTTTATGTAAAAAAATGCTTATAATTATGCGCTGCTGACACTTGATTTTCTTTTAATAAACTCAACATAGGAAATAAACTGGTGAATGCAGTTTATTTGTCAGACACAACCTCCCACTGTGAAATGACACAAAGAATCTTAGTAACGCGCTTGAGAGGGTAAAGAGGTAGCAGAAGTTGTTGGTCTCGTTGCACACGAACAGTCTTTTCTGATGTCGGCGATCGAAATTGTTGTACAAGATCTGTAATTTGTCATCGTGGCAGAATGCCGTCGCAAAAATCTACGCCATCAAACTAACGACTCGCTTCCTTTTCTTTTCTCTGCACCTTCACGTGTGCTACTACTTTTTGTGCATTCACAATTACACTCCTAATTAATATAATCGTATCAACTTATAAAAATCGGGATCTTTTCGTAGAACTCATATTTTTTCTTAATTAAATAATAATAAAATCAATACTTGAATTTATAAGAAAAAATATATCCTATGTCCTTTTTTTGTTTTGAATTTGTTTAAAAATTAATTATGAAAAAACAAGGAGTAATTAAAGTTGATGAGGATCGGTATCTTGTAGGTCAGTAAATTTCTGATCTCAAACATCACAATGCAAATCATTATTGATGACTGGAAGTGCTGAAAAAAAATAATTAAACATTATGATCACGATATCATGATTTTACTTGGGTTCTTCGACTTACCTTTGTTTAAACAATTATTGTAAGTAAACTAGTGGAGATAAAAATATTCTAGGACCGGGGTCTTATAGAGCAGGAAATTTCTGATCTCTAACACTATAACGCAACCCGTTTTTGATCACTAAATAGAAGTGATGAAAAGAAATCATAAAGTCTAGGATGGATAACGAAGCAAAGATTTTTCCTGAATTTTCTATTTACTTAGCTTTGTTTAAAAAATCATTACAGCTAATCTAATGGAGATAAAAATATTCTAGAACCGGGAACTTATAGAGCAGGAAATTTCCGATCTCTAGATGTCCAATGAAAGCCTGATCCACCATCTCGAAGTGCTAAAAAACATGATCAAACATTGAGATCCCAATGTAACAATTGTACTTAGGTTTTTTTAACTTACCTTTGTTAAAAAAGAATCATTGCAACTAAACTAATGGAGATAAATATATTTGATCATCAGGGTTTTATAGAACGGGAAATTTCCGATCTCTAGATGTCCAATGAAAGCCTGATCCACCAACTAGAAGTGCTAAAAAAAAATTGATAAAAAATAACAATTTTAATGAGGATGAAAGTTATTGTTGATTATTTCGCAATTATCCAAAGAGAAAGTAGTCAAATTAAGCAACAAGTACGCAAAGCAGCTGATTCGTGTTTGCGAGCACTGCCACACCCTATCCCGTACAACTTCCGCCCTTTACCAAGACTACTCGCCAACAAATTGTGGCCCTTCCTACCTGTAATTGGCAACCGATGCACTGGGCGTTTTTCTCGGACTCGCCCCAATACGTAATTGCATCCAAGCCTGGTATTCTACAAGTCAACCAATCTATTACCAGCTATTTCTACTATCCATCCAAATCATCCATCGACTTCAGTAACACCAATTAAACCAATGTTGATTATCAGAAAACTTGAGAAAAATAAATCTAAAAAAACAACAAATGATATAAAAGCCGGAAATAGTGGTGGAAAAAAATTATGATTCCTTGGTACCCTGTCATCTAGCGGCTCATAAAGATCCACTTCTTCGCTCTGCACTTGTCATGCTAGTGTATCCATCAGCAAGATGCTGGAGACCATTTTCCACTTGGTCGAGTAATTGTCTTGCTACTGATTGATTTTTGCCGCCTGTTTATTTTATTGCTCTGTTTTTTTTTTTTTACACCAAAAAAAAACCCATCATCAGTTTCTTTTTCTCTTGCTATGATAAAAAGAATGCTTTCTAGACTTTCATCATTTGATATTTTAATTCCAAGAACTCTTGATCATCTATTTCTGATTTTATTTACATTTTTGTTTAGTCAGGTGTATCAGTGTAATTAACGTAATTGCAAGCACATGAATGGAATTTGTGTAGTTGCGGCTATACAAAGAAGATAAAAAAAAAAAAAAATTCAGAAGATGGTTAATTCTATCTCTCTCGACAGGCGATCATCATCAGCTAATAGTCCAGCAATTTCTATTACTGCATGGCAATAATGATCACTGGAACATGGAAAACACGTGATTACTTCTCTTAGAGACATGCATTTCCTGTTTTTCCTTATTAGTGGCTTTATATACATAATTTAGCTTACCTAAAAAATACTTGCCAATTTATACAATACAAAAAGAGTCTTATATTCGAAGATAAACTTATGTTTAATCATTTTTCCAACATCATAAGCTGATTATTTTCATCATTACTTGACCAACAATAAATTAATCATAAAAATAATCCAGTAAAAATTATTAGAAGAAGTCAACAACATCAAGAGATCCGTGCTGTTGATTTAGAAGTCATTGGAATGCTCTGAAAAAAATGACTGTTAGATTTACAATCAATACACGTGAGTGGAGATTTATTTTAATTGTAAAGGAATAGACTTTGAACTCGATTTATTGACAACAAAGGATTAAAACTGAGGACAATTTTAAATTGACTAGCACACAGGGATCTTCTATTCATCATCATATAGCCTAATTTCAAACTTACCAATCACAAAAACTTATACATCAACATTGGACTACCGCTCAGGTGTTTTACTTTGTCAATGTGTTGTTGCTACCAGTTAGGACAAGTTCGACCATGATTGATTATCTAATCAGCTGATTAACGAGTGCTAATTACCCTGACTATCCAGACATTGAAGTTTATTTATTTTTGATTTATTTAGTTTGAAAACATTAAAAGTATTATTACTAATGTTATTTATTATTATTCGGCTAATAATTAGCTGATCAGTCAGTCAGCCATCATCAACCTGACCCTTTGAATGCTTTTATTTATCATGGTATTTAAATCTTCAAACATTTTCTGAATAAATCTGTTCAATGTCATCCTGGTCCAGGTTTCAAATGATGTCCTTTCCGTACTTTTAAAAGCACTTCTTCATTCCTTTTATCAATCATTATCTCATGAGCAACCTAATGATAAAAATAATCTATTAGCACCAAGTCTTCAACAACCCTACGTCATTAAAAAACTTTTTAAATAATATTATTGAATAAAACAAATCTTTTGGTACTTAGAAGTTATTTAAACACCAAAGAAAAAAATGGAGAAGATTATCCACGTGTTTTAGAGTAGATTTTAAGCTCTTTCAAATAGCTTTTTATTTAAAATGATGCCATTACTAACCTAATAATGTGAGTAAATAAATAAAATAAGATCTAACTACTCCAGAAGCACTGACAGATCAATGTAATAACCTAAAAGTCATTAGAATTGTATTGACAAAAATAACCAGAGTAGTCCCAAGTGCTAAACATTGAAAAGTTGACCTGCTGATGAAAATAAAAGGTTAGTTGTAATAAACTTAAACAAGACTGAGCATGCATATTACAGTTTCGAAAGTCATGATGAAAGATATGGAAAAGATGACTGAGATCAGCAACCCTCCAAGCTATTATATACCTTTACGACTTTTGTTGAACAAAAAAACGTCAAGCCAGCTGAGGAGTCTTTTATTTCTCGTCCACTTCCTCCCTCCCTTTCTCACGATAGTTTTGCCGACATTTTCCGATGCTCATATTTAAGCAAAACATCAATGAAGCATTCCTCTTCAATGACTTAGCCAGAGACAAAAAAAAATTCCTCAGAGCACTAGACTTTCAATAGAATGATGAATGAAGGCGTGAATGGGATGTCTTTGGCAAAGTTTCTCTCTAGACAATTGTCGTTTGAGAGTTTCATTTTTTTCTTTTTTTTTGGAAAATAATACTATTGTTAAGATGCGTCCCTTCAGGCGCCTACGGTTTCCGGGCTTGGCCAAACAGGTTATGTTAGTCTACAAGAGAAATTGGAAACAAACTGTGAAAAATTCGTTTCGTAAGCTTCTTTAATCTCCTTGAAACATCTTTAAGTCCATTGATGCTACATTGGAGCAACCATAAAGAGAATAACAGTTGAACTTAACACAAAAAATAGGTAATTCATGATCACAGCTTCCTGCTTGACTATTGGTCACTTTTTGCCTCAGAGTAAATATTATAGTTGGATGTGAGAACCCGAACACGAACGTCGAATAGATGGGAATGATAGGAAAGGGATGATGAAGTCGCGATTTCGATGACAAAAATGCCAATCAGCAGGTGGAAAAGGATCACGCACAGGCTGGGGGTATAATTAGCTAATAGCTTGTTAGGTGGTCTGCTTGTGCACGATAATGGCCGGTATTACAACACGCGACCGTTATTAGAAGCCTAGGCTTACTGCACCCTCTTTAACATCATTTATTTATTCGGTTCGGATGAAAATTATTTCAAATGTTTTTTTACTGAGTTTTAAATTGTTTTGATTGATTTACTTTATTTCTTTTCAACAAAACCTTTGGATAAAATTTTTTTTTTATTTAATACTAAAATATTGTGCACACAAAGTCACTCCATTGTTCAATACACTTTGATTGGTGACAAATTGTCAGGTATATTTATGAGAAAGAAAGGTTAACTCTTCAGACATGTTATGTAATGATGAGAATATTATTTACTTTTAAAGTAAAATGCAATTGTTTTGATTCCTTTTTTTTAAATAGTCTTATGGGTTAAGATTTTTCATATGTTCACAAAATGTCATTTTCTTTTATTTAACACTCATTGAAATTTTTTTTCCGATTATTTTAGAATATTATAATAGGTTATTGTTCTCCAAGGGTCGCAGTAATATACCCAGGTATAAATGTTTTATTTTGTTAGCATAGTAAACATATTAATTTTTATTATATCCTTGCCAAAAGTTAACTTTTTTCTGCAGCTTTGAGGTTAGAAAGGTAATGGTTTTTTTTTCTTAAACAAAGGCAACGCTAATCTGTTTTCAAGGGGAAAAACTATCGCTTTCTTGCCTGAAAATAGAGGAAAAAAAGTCAATTGTCAGCGACAACATGAGAAAAAATTTATTTTCCTCCCTAGGTATGGAAAATACTATTTTTAACTCAAAAAAATTTTTTTTTCATTTTTATAACCTCTAAAAATTTATTGAAAATTACAAAAAAATCATTACAAATTCTCTAAATATTTTTCTCCTGTAAATTAATTTATTTATCAATCAAGTAACATGTACAATCAATTCTCCAATAACTATTGTTTGTTTTTTTTTTTTTTCTTTTAAAGAAATCATTTCAAGGTCCAGAAAAGATGTTCTTCAACTCCAAAATCCTGTGAGAAAAAAATAAAAAGCACATTGTCAACCCTCTTGACTTTTACAAAAAAAAAGAAACCTGATCAAAAAGAACAAAAAAACAAATTCCTGTGGGAGGATACCTTTAAACTACAATAAATAATGCATCCTGATTGTTTTTTTATGGCCTCAATTACAAGATGTTCTATAGCTGGTAATAAATAACAAATGGTCTTTATAAATAAATAAACGTATGCATTGTGTAAAATAACAATAAATAAGGTTGGTATGTCGTTGCAGGTAGACGTGTTTTTGGGTGTCAGGAGGATGGGGTACATTTGGATGAAAAAGACGAGCGAATACAGCAATAAATGTACAAAGGAACGAGGAACACGTCTTCATTGTGGGATAGCTTGTTGATATGTTGGACTTTTGAGGGGATTGATGATGTTGGAAATCAACGATGTACAGAAAGGATCGTCGTGTGGGTTCGAGCGTGCCGGACATAACACTGCGTCTTCCGATTGTTGGTTTTGCCAGTCAAGTTTTTCGCATCTTTCTGTGGCGGCGACTTGGACCCCAAGGTGCATTACACGCAATTAGACGCCAGGGTGGCCCCAAGGTATGCCCGACAAACGGATCTCCCTTCATTTCTTCTCTCCTCTTGTTTCCTTCATTCACCTCCCAGTCGAACAATTGTTCATCGCTTATTTTCTTTAAAAGCAATAATGAGAACAAATTTGCTCCAAGTCAATGACATTTACTTTTTGATATCTACAAGACATTTTCAATTATAATACCTTGAATTCAATAATTTATTACACCTTAACTAGCAATGATTTAAATAATTATCATCAGGATCTTTCAGCACAATAATTGAAATGATTTCTTACAACAGGAAGTGTGGAAAAAGATTATTTTTATTGAAGAAGCTGATTGATATTGATTTGATATATTTTTATTATTTTATAATAAATAAAACCCTTAATTAAAAATTGTTTATCAATTAAATAAACATTATTACACTGATTAAATTTTTTTATAGTAATTTTACCAGTTAATTTACGGCCAAAATTGCTAGTAAAAAATTCAAAATCACTAGGATTTTTTTTAGTAAAAAAAAACTTGGTAAAAATTCCTATTTTTTACTAATTTTTACTAAGTATAATTTTAACCAGCACACCATCTCTAAACTTAGTTTTTTTTTATTAAAAAAAAAAAAATTATGCAAAAAAAGATGAAAAAGTCATTCTGATTTAGAAAATCTTTAGTCAAAAATTTATTATACCTAAACTATTGACAATAACAATAGATAAATATTGTCATCTTACAGAGGGGAAAATTTCCAATTCCTAGCACACTAATGAAACCGTTTTTTACTAGCTGGAAGTATGCAAAAAAAAAAAAAATATCCAACATGATAAATAGCTTATTTGAGAAACTGATCAATTTCCTTGGATTGAAAATCTTTTGAATATCAAACACATAAGGGAAAATGAATAAAAAAAAAAACCATCCCCTAATTTTTAAGCTGAATATATATCCTAAATATACCATCAATGCCATTTGACCTCATTTACTTGCAGAGCTACATCTTCCAACCCTCATGTGACATCTGTATGAGTCGCCCGTGCCGACACAATTCCCCATTTTGAAATTGGGATGTTCTCGTGCCTTCTTTAGACATGAACGACCTGCGCTGACTCGTATGGACAACACCCGGACCACACCGAAACTGGCAGGTGCAAGCATCATCCTTTTTCTCCAATTCATCTGTCCCTTTTTCACGCTCTCCATTCCCTCGAGGACTTGATTGTTCTATTGCTAGCGTGCCATTCACCAACTAAATGATGACAATGACACTGTTAAAGCGTATGAAAAAGGTGTTTTTCTCTTATTGTTGTAATCACGAAGAGTCTGGCTGGTGGTCCAATTAGAGTTGGTGATTCTGATGGATAGTACTAGGGTGTAGATGCCGCAATTGCTCTTATAATTTGCTATATAAATTTTCTCAGTAAAATGTAGAGAGTGATGCTGATGGCTAACTGTGCGGACTTTCTTGCGCCTCGTAAATCCCAATGAGCGCGTTCTTTAAAGGGTATTTAATGTTGCTTCCTTCTAGGCTAACTCATGATTGCACTGCGACAGTTACTAGCTGGAAATCGCAGCCCAGGTAATACAACAAAACCATTCAACCAACGAAACAGTTAACCATTACTTTAGTGCCTTTGATTCCATACCAGCTGCCTTGAGACCTTTTTTATTCATTTTTAAATTAAACTTGATGCAATGACGCTCGTTTATTTGTGCTGATGGATCACTTCTAGGATCAATATTCATTTCATCAGGATTGGTGGATATTAAATGAGCTATTGGGATGATTGACAAATTTTCTCTGTCATTATCATCATATCCATCATGTAGATCAGCTTTTTAGCGATCTAAAATCCTACAATATTACTGCAAAAGTCCAGCCTTTAGGTTTTTTTTAAAACTCTTTTTAATTGGAACTTGATCTTATGACTCTAAGTCTGATGGATCACGCTAGAAATTAATATCAAAGTTTCTAATAGAAAGATCATCATTTCCTGACCATAAACACAATTTGATATACATACTTCGATATAAGTTTTTTTATCACTACACCTTTCATTGCAAGCTTTGGAATGATTATTTAACCTATAATTGACTTTTAGGTTAGTTAATTTCAATTAGACTCAATGTAATTGTTGATAAGTTGAATAAAAAGATGTTAATTAAAACTATTTTTAATATCAACTCTATTTTTTCAGGAATAAACCCTCCGGAGACCAACAAAACGACATCTAGCACTTTTTGTGATGAGTTTTTCAACAAACATCAAGATTCTTCAATACTTCTAGGTAAAATACATTCTAACCTCCAATATCATCAGCAGATATTGAATTAATTAATAACTGGTATTACAGAAGCCAGATCTATCATCAACGATTGAATGTATAATTCTCTACCTTATTCACTCACAACAAATCCTCGTGTGCTTCCATCCACCTCCACCGCTTGAAGCATGCGTACCAATTGTCTACTGTAAACAATCTTCTTCAGTGTCCTGTCAACAGGTGTTGTGACAACACTCATCACAAGCATGGAAACTGTTAAGAAGTTTGATATTTTCCAATATGACTCCAAGGACTTTAATTTCATTGTCCAACAAAATCATCAGGATGCGAATGACTCCAAGTTTGATAGGATTCTGAAAGAGAAATACGAAGAAGGTATGAAGAACAACATTTTCCGATACAAATTGAACATCAGTGAATCTAAAATCCTAGATGGACAATACAGGTTTTTTGCACAGGTAATTTTTTATGTTAAAACCTACTAGATTATTGATATTAATAACATGATAGTTTATTGTGACATCTTTGATGCAGCTGAATGTGGAAAGAGGTTCAAATCGCCGAGCTCCTGAAGACATTCAGTCAATGAATACTCCATTTGATCCATCAAGATTTAATTTCACGAAAATCAGTGATAAGGAAATTTACTTTGATATTTGTGTTGGTGATGGAAATAATGTTGTAGCAGCCAATGTCAGTCCAGTGGAGTATGGACATTGTTTATTTCTACCAGAGAGGTTAAAATGTCTACCACAGCAAGCTACTAAATTCAGTATCATTAAAGTTATTGAATTATTCCTCCTCAGTAAATCACCGTAGGTAGTTCAATCTTACTTATTTATTAACAAGAAAGAAAAATAAGACATTACCATTTTTTTCCTGATGAATCTAGGTACCTCAGGGCAGCATACAACTCACTGTGTGCTTATGCATCAGTGAATCATCTCCATTGGCACTTGTATTATTTAAATATTCCAATGCTGCTAGAAAAATATGTAAGCTTCAACTCTTCTTTATTTGTTAATTTATTATTTATTTTATTTAAAATATGATTATGTTTAATTCCAGCCTTTAGAATGTCTGTCTGAGCCTTTATATTTATTAGAAAATTACCCAGCCAAAGGTTTCTGTATTAAACAATCATCATTTCTAGACAATGATTACCTTAGTTTTGCTTCTGCAGTCTATTTGTTTGTTAAATATCTCCAGGAACAACTTATTCCACATAATGTTTACATAACAAGAGCTAAAAAATCTAGGGAAAGTATCAGCTATGATGATATAAGGGTCTATATCTGGGCTAGAAAACCAAACTTTGGGATCAAGAACACTCTAGGATTTCTTCCAGCTGTTAATGAATTCTCTGGGCATTTATCGATTAAAAGTATTTATAAATTAATACTTTTTATTGATAAATAATAATAATTATGGTAATTTTGATTATCTATTTCAGCTAAAGAAGCTTATGAGTCGCTGACTGAAGATATGGTTGCTCAATGCATGGAAGATGTTACAAATGATTTCTTTTTGAAGCTTAAAAAAAACCTTGAAGATAAGAATAATATATTTGATGGATCATAACTTAAATAAATTAATTTAAACAATAGATAAAAAGTGTGAAGAATGAATTAATTAATGGAAAAATATGCACGTGTATACAAAAGTAATGGTAAGTAGGTTAGAAATTATTTAATAATTAAATTTATTTAAAAGGTAAAATAATTTAAATTTAATAATGACTTTTAAATTATTTTACATAATAAAACAAAGTAATTAAAATATATTTGATCATTTTTATTTCTTAGATACTTTTGGTTTCTGTTAGGGAGGTTAAAATTTTAGGTTAAGTCTAACTTTAATATAATAAATAATAATAATAATAATAATAATAATATTTATTGGATTTAAAACTCCAAAGTTCTACACAATTGAATAAAATAAATAAAAAAAATATAAATATTTAAATTTAAATTATCATTAAAAAAAATAACCTACTGTCGATAAAATTTTTATTATTATCTGATCAACAAATATCTGTCTTACCGACATGAAGTAATTCACTGCGCGCCTGCGCAATATTTGTAAACAAACAAAGGTTATGTGTGGAAAATGCTACGTCAACACGTATTTAATTTACTCTAAAATTAATTAACATTGTTAATAAAAATAAAAGAGTTACTATATTTAGAAAATATTAGCAAAACTTTCTATACCTTTGTATATAATAATGAGTGCCAATAAAATTAATAATCAAGAGAAAAATAAATTAAAGTCAATTCCTGGTACGAAACCATCATTGAAAAATGCGCAATTGCTCATATCAACCGGTATTCCATCACTAGACAACTTGATAGGTAAATTTAATTTAAACTTCAAATCATAAAGTAAATAACCTAAAAATTTCAATAATTCATGATAATTAATGTGATTATTATTTCCAGGTGGTGGACTACCTATAGGCACGATAATATTAATAGGTTTTTATCATAAATATTTAAAAAATAATTATCATAATTTATACTGAAAGAACTCTAGTGTAAATAATCTCTTAAACTTGCAGAAGAAGATTTGTATGGATTTTACTCCAAAGCGATGTTGAAGTACTTCCTGGCAGAAGGTTGTGTTGCATCTCATGAGCTCTTTGTCGCTTCTCAAGACATATCTCCAGAAAAACTAGTCTCAGAATTGCCAGCGGAGATTAGAAATGAGCCCAATCTGATGCCAATGAACCCTCAAATAGACTCAAGTCATGATAAAATGCAAATTGCCTGGAGGTATCAGAACATGAAGGTTACTGATTCACTGTCAAGCTGTCCCAGTGATAACTTTGGTCACTATTATGACTTGACAAAAAATATGGACAAAGAATTGATCACCAAAACACACGTGACATATTGGAATGGTGAAGAAAACAAATGGCAGTCTAGTGATTTTAAAAATTTAGCTTATGTAGATCTGTTGAAGAGTATTCAAGAAACATTGAAAGAGAGACAGTTTTATGTATCATCTAATCCTGAGAAAAGGAATATCATGAGAATAGGAATCTTATCATTGGGATCTAGATTATGGTTAGCTGATAATGATGAACAAAGTCAATCAGAGTTGATTAAATTTTTATACTGCTTTCGGGCGATATTGAGAAATTGTTTTGCTGTTGCTGCCATCACTGTGCCTTCTAGGAATTTCGAACACGTAAGTTAATGAATAAAAAAAAGGAGTTTACACTCATTATTAGGTCATTACTCTTGAAAGCAACAAAGATAAAAATGATTTTAAAATGGAGTAAAAAAAATAATTTAATGGATCTTTTAAAAAAAAATCTTTCCGGTAGAAGTAAATAAACATAAAGAACTTGCTCAGATAATTAATGTGATTATTTTAATAGACATATGATTTTCATTTCCCCAACACTCTCATATGGATGCATTTATTCATGAGTGATTTCGAAGCGTGTAAATTATGCAGACGTAATGAACAATTTGTAGAAGTATAATAAATTGAAATTATGTTCTAGAATAATATTGTTGAAAGGATAGAACATCTTGCAGATACTGTGATATCCTTGGAATCATTCGCGGGATCTTCAAAAGAAACTAATCCTGTTTATAAAGACTACCATGGTCTCTTGAATGTTAGAAAATTATCAGCAATCAATACACTAGAGTCACACTGTCCTGAGACGTTGGACTTAGGCTTCAAACTTCGAAGAAAAAAATTCACAATTGAGGTAAGAAATTTTATTCACATCAGTCATGGTCATGTGGTAGTTCTGAAATCGGGATTTTTCAGCATGGAGGAAATTCTGAAGAAAAATCTTCGAAGATTGTTAAAAAACATTACTGATATTAATAAGAGTGTTTTTATCTTGAATAATAGATAAAAAGTCTGAAAAAGCAGCCTTCGGTTCACTTTTTTGTGATTTTCTTGAAAACTACAAGAGATAAAGGTGAAAGTGTTATGACCTTTTTTGTATAAAATTGCAGCCTCGACATATTTTATTCGAAACTTTTTCCCATATCTTTTACCGTTTTGAAAATAATCACGAAAAACAGATTTCAGAGTGATTTTTTAATTATTATCCAAGGTAGAATATAGCTTTGTTAATATCAGAAATTATTTATAACAATTCCAAAAGTATTTTCTACAAATTTCAGCCATGCTGAAAAATCTGGATTAAGCTATTTTGATTAAACTACTAATTAATTATGCAAACAATTAAATAAATTTATTTTCAGGTTCTCCACTTACCTCCTGATTTCGGTGATTCAGAGCATGATGATAAAAAGATGTCTTTAACTGGATGTGGAACATCACAAAAAATGTTAGATTTTTAGAAGCATACCTTAGTTTTATTTTCCTTAAAAACAAAAAGAATATATCCTTAAAGTAAACAAATTTAATAAACTGGTTTTTTAATGAACGAATTGAAGTTTATTGCTCAACCTATTTAACGACATGTGCGTGACTTGTTCCACAAAAATCGATAGAACGACGTCGGAGATAAGCTTGGTGAACACTAAACAATAATACCTGGTAACAATGCATCATGATGATCTCATTCTCATGTACTTTACACCTAAATAAAATTACCTACTAATCGTAATCTCTATCTTATATAGTCCAGTCAACACAGGGAAATGGATGATTCTTGACAAGCTGGTGGAAAATTCAAAGTAAAAACGGTGTTGATCCAAATTTTCTGGCCCCCCATAAGGGAGGGAAAAAGAACAATAAAAGCCTTTACCATCGAAATATCTCGAAATCTAAGATAAATAGGAAAAAGAAGTCTATAAGTATCCAAATATACTTTAACAACTTAACACACATCTCCATTACCTAGCAAAACATCTAAAAAATTTGCAGGAAGGATATTTCTACCGGTTCCAAAGAGCTAATTGATCCAAAAAACCAACACAGCATTGAAATAAATAATAGTGTGTATAAATACTGAGAATGAAGAACCCATACCTCATGGAGCCCCTCCTATATGTAACCCTCTTCCGGACCTATTTCCTTCCGGCGCCATTACATCTGGTTCCATCCGGTCAATGATGAGCATTGAACGCCCTGATGCGTATCCGAACGTTATTCCACTAGGACTGGAGCCGTAGAAAAATAATTGTTACATGTTCAGTTGACTTTTAAAGTTGGAATTAAACGAATCAACTTGTTTAATCCAACATCACTGTGGCTATGATTATTTGTTTAATCCTCAACTGTCTTTTTTATCAATCATTTTTTATCCTTTAATTATGAAGTGCCACCAAAATAACAAGATTAACTGGATAATCTAATTAACATCCAATTAATTAAATAATAAATCAATTATTTTTAAAGTGTTTTTTAACTTCCAACATGAAGCTTCACAAAAGAACAGTGTTTAGAGCCTTTATGTGCTCATCAAATGTTTTATTCACGGTAATATTAAATTATAATCATCAGTTTTAAGTGTCAATTATCAACAGAATTGGTATTAAAGATTTTCTTTCCTTGCTTTTAGATATCGGGATTTGTTTTAATGTCTTTAGGAGTTATATTGTTGATCGACAGTGATCGGATATTGATGTCAAGATTACTTGGTCCTGATGAATCTCAGCTAAATCAACCTTTATTTTATTACCTGGCATTTGGCTTTGTAGGATTAGGATTTATTATTGTTATTACTGGACTATTTGGATGTTGGTTATCATGTTCATCTCACTGTTGTGTTACTGGTTTGGTAAATATCCATTTTTTCCCCCCAATTAAAAGCAAATTCATCAAGTAAAAGGTCAATTAAAAAATTTATCATTGCAGTACATAACAGCTTTGATACTTTTATTGCTAAGTGAATTCACATTGTGTGCTGTGGCAGTGTTTTGGCCAGACTTGATAGGCGTTGATGTCCATTCAACGCGTCTAGTTCGTGCTCTTCAACGCAATTACGGCTTACCTGGTCGTGAGCAATTTACTGCTGCCTTGGACCTGGCTCAAACAACCGTAAAATGGAGCATTAATACTTAATTTTATTAATAGGATGACATTTAGGTATTAATGAGGTGTTTCATTTCAGTATTCATGCTGTGGGATCAATGGAAGTAATAATTATGGAACATCTTGGTGGCGTTTGCAAGAAATTGGACGACGTGATTTAATTGTACCACTTACCTGTTGTGTTCTTAATAGTACAGGAAGTGACAGTTTTCTCAACCCTGTGGCCAAGGATCTTGAAGCATGCCAGGCACTTAATCCAGCTAGGCATCAGCATGCTCGACATACTCAGGTATTTAGAATCCATTTATTAAATCTTATTGATAAGATCTAGTTAGCTTAATGTGATTTTAATAGTTTAATTATTTTATAATAGGGTTGCTTGGAACTTATTGAAGATTGGGTTCAAACACAGCTGTTGATATTATTGACGATTGGTTTGTCATTGATGTTCTTTGAGATCTGCGTTCTCTCATCGTCTTTGCTAGCATGTAGAAATAGGAAGAAAGCTTCGAAGAAGAAGAATACAAGTGGATTGTCATCTTTTACTTCAACACAGGCATTGACTCCTCATTCACAGTTTACTGATACTGATTATGACTTTGGTAATTTTTGATTTGTTAAAATTACCATTCAATTTTTAGCTCTTAAATCATTTAATAATCATGGAATAAATTTTTAGAAACTGGATTGGATAAAAATCCACGTATGAACATCGCAACGATCAGTAGGAAAGCATGAAAATGGCACGAGGGCAGCGAAAGGAGTGAAATTCTGAAGAGTGTGAGTGATAACAATGGTGGATCTAGTGTTGATCATTCTAATATAATTTCTACAAGTCAACAAAATTTGTCAAAACATGTCAAACAGTCTAAAAGTCAATATTCTATGGATAAAATACCACCAGAGCTTCAAGGAGACAATCAGAGGAATTCATTCATCAGAGACAATTATCGATTTTCATTCTCAAAAGCTGGAAAGGGAAATAAATCTGATCAAGTCTCAGTCTTACAGATATCTACATCTCCATACCATCAGCTTTGCTCACCTAATTCAGAGTTTCACTCCACTAGTCGGAGGATTAAAAGGAATAAATATCACTTTAAAGGGAGTTTTCCTCATACTAGAGACTCAAAAAAATGTCGGAGTTCAAATATTGATTATCTAGATCTCATAACATCTCCATCATTGGTATCAAGGAGTGTCAGGAGTGTTAATAGGTCATCAATAAAAGGTCAAACGTGTTCTAAAAATGGTAAAGTAAGTCGAATAATATCAGCTTTTGAAGAGAATGCTCGAAGTTCTTCTAAAAAACGAACTAAGAATAAAAACAAAAATCGATTGATTGGTGTACCTTTAATTGGAATGCACAATACATGTGGGCTTCCTGTGATTACTCAATGGTCTGACAAACATTTAAATTCCCTTCAGGTGTCAAGTGATGTTGTTAAACGGCTAGGATCCAATGGATTAGTTGATGGAATTAACAGGACTATCATAAAACATCATTTGAAAAATTCTTTCAAAGATCCAGCACGAAAATCAATGATCCTAGTGAAGTTGATGAACGAAAATAGCTCTAAAAGAAGAAATAATAATCCTAATTATAAAAAATGCATCAACTGTTCATCAATGCCGAGTAGTAGTCAGTTATCATCAAACAGCACCAAGCAGCATTCTCAGTCTTCTAGAAGATTGGAGGAGGATAAAACATCTTCTGAAACTAAAAAGTCTTATTTAGATTTAACAAGACATGAGAAATCTGTAAAACGAGCTACACTTTATGCTAGAAATGACAGTAGTGAAGCAATAAATGCATTGACTAGTCTTTGTTTAAATCCCATGGCAAGAAGTGAAAATGCTTCTAACATGATATGGTAGATTTAATAATTAATTTATGAGTTTCGTTGCCCTCGAGCTTTTTTTTTTATATTCTTTTATACTATTATGTCACTATTATTATTGAAATAAATTTTTTACCTTCGTTTGATGAGTTGGAATTATTTCCAGGTTGAAACATCAGTATTTAAATCTACACAAGCTGTATCTTGTGCTGGCTATACACATGACATAGTATTTATTAGCATCACAAATTTTAGTTTTTGTCGAATTATTCCTGCTAATGTAGAACATCCAGCATGTAATTGGTAGGTCCAGGTTTGATTCCAGGTCTCGACAACCAAATAAATGAATAAAAAATTATTCTGGGCTGGTTGTGGAGTCATTTACATTGGCACTTTACTCCAATTCTTCAATAAAAAAAATTAAAATAATAAATGAACCATAGAAGGCGCTCAAAGCAGCAAGCTTTGACCAGCACTCAATTAAACACCCGTTAGAAACATCTCTATTTCATGAACAATAGTTAGATTATCCCAATTACATCATTTAGCTGAGGTACAAATTGAATATTGGCTGTTCAGTATGACATCATTGCACCGATAAAACCACTAGCACACTTGAGAGACCTAGAACTAATCCTTTCCAATATTTACTGATCAAAGTTATAATAAGTACTTTGATAAAATTTTCCACTGATAGCAATTAAAGTAATAATTAATAATGGAGCTCTCTGATGATCAGGCAAGTCAATCAACCCAAGAGAACTCTGCAAACCCAGCAAAGCCTGCTCCTAAAAAAGCTAAACGCAAGTGGTCGAAGAAGCTGAAGAATGATCTTGGTTTGGGTTCAATAAATGACAAGCTAAATGTGCTAAGACGTCTTCCTGTTGGACTGTTGAATGAAGATGGGACTGATGGTGTAGGAACGAGCACTGATGAGCCTAAGAAAGGTGACACAATGCTAATTATGGACAACTATGCCTGTAGAATATTTGACATTGTTGCTTTAGAAGACTATGAGCTACCTGATTTCAACCCAGATGAACTCATTGACATCAACACAGGAAAGTTTTCAAGCTGCGAGCACATTTTCCGTCTTGTTTCTCAACAGACCCGGTCTGCTGATGAGATCAATACTATCATAAAAATATGTGAAAAATGCAACGCTGTATTTAATTCATAAAAAAGAAATAAAAAAGAAATAATCAATTGAAATTGTTTCGTGTCTTAGGTACATCAATTTTACGTTTTTTCACTTTATTATCCTGCTTTTCAAAACCTCCACTATCAGTTACATTATTTATTATGATTTCAGGATACTCATCAATGTTATTTTGCAACCATGATTTATAATTATCACCACTATCAGCTTCATCACCGTCATCCAATCCTGGCATCTCTTTCATAATATCTACCACTGATATGTATCCTGTATTCCGTACTGTGCATGAAGAAATAAGAGGCTTTTGATAGAAATTAATCACCCCATCAGTCGGACGTTTACAGTGCCAGCAAAATTCGTCAAATTTGTTGGCATTTGATTCAGAAATAACAGCATATTGATCAACACATTGAGACCTTACAGTTGATAGCTTGGTAACTGCACATATCTGAAGAGTTCCTTGATGTCTAGCTAGCATAATATACCGTGACTTTTTGTTCTTATCAATATGATGGCCAATGATAGCAAACTTGTAGGGAGCTACGTTGCTACGGTTGCCTCCAATGATATAGTCAAGCCTCTGGGTTCCATTGAGCTGAAGATTCTTTATCATTAGACCTTTCTTCTTCGACATAGCTAGCATTCTTTCTAGATCAATATCTGGTTCCTCTGTTGCGATGATGATACTTTCATTCTTTGGTAATTTCTCATTCATCACATTCAACCGTGCTAAATAAGGTTCGTTGATTAGCAAGATGTTCTCAAATATATAACAATCAATGATATGAATAACATTATTCTTGATGATAATTTCAAAAACATACATGCCAGATGTTTTCAAGTTTTTTGTTAACTTTAGGAATAATTTATTCAATTTTACACCAATGTTGCTTTTGGCTGAATTGCTGAATGCCTCGAGACCTTCGGTGGATTTGTGATAGACATTGTAGATGATTCGTATTTCACATTCATCAATTAGCACAAAGACTGGATCATTGATTAAACTAAAAGCCTTGGCATTCATAAAAAGATCAGTAGGTAAGTCTGTTAGATTTCCAATCATTCTGTACTGAGGAAACACCACGTAGTCTAGAAGTAAATTATGATAATCAATCGGCTCATCTGATGTTTTAACAATGTAGCATTTTTTACGGTTTGTAGATAAAATAATATCAGCATTTGAAGATGCTAATTGGGTTCCTGATGTGTTGAGTGAACTTGGTTCACCAAAGCCATCAAAGTGTAGCGGTATGATGTAATCACCGATATTGAAGGTATATGAATTAGATGGAAGGTGGTCTAGCATTTTGTAAGCAACACAATAGTTTTTTTATATCAATGATTAATTGTTTAATTATTTATTATACTGAGATATCAAATAATAATGACCTTTAATTAGATGTGCTTCAATAGTTACCAACTCAGCACAAAATTTTAGTGCTATCTAATGAAACTTAATTCACTCTACAATCCATCACTTGATTGAAAACAATTAATTTAAATTTGTAATTAACATTTTTATTTGATTTTAGGAATGATTCATTGCAGTTGAAACTTCTTTTTACAAAATGCTGAATGATACTCAAGATTTAATTACGAAAAGTGATGATTAATTGAATGCCTAGCCTTTTCATTAGATGCATGGGATCAAGAATAGACTTTTCAAGCTAGAGAATTATAAATATGAGGTATCGAAAGCAAGCAAAAATTCCAAGCTATATTTCATCAGGAAAAAAAGTGTACATCAAGTACCAAACTGATTATGAAATTCATTCAGAGCTCAATTTACCAAGAGACTTTTTTTCTCAAGTATTTCCTTCAAATATTTATACAGAAGCTTTTGATAATAAATGGAAAGGTTTTGTTCATCATAACAATCGATATGGAGTCTGTTTGGTGACTGAACAGACTCTTTATCATCTAGCAATCAAGCATAAAATAATTGCCTTCAGCTATTGTTTGTTCAAGAATTCTAATAATTATGATAGCTGTTATTTTCGAGTTATTCCAGCTCCAAATTTTGCTAATTTTGCAAGCATTTTTCGACAAATTTATCGGATCAAACTGGAACCTTGTGATGAAATACCTATTCCAATGAGGGTGTTTGTTCCTAGACGTTTGTCAATTCACATTGAAAAATACTCTGGAGATGAAAGTTGCAAAGGATGTGGAGGTGTATCAAGTCAATCAGAAGACTCTACGTATGAGATCTATAAGATACTTAATTTGAATCAATACAATTGTACCAATCCAAAATGTTCATTTTATGCAGTTGATTTTGATAAGATTGATATTTACAATTATGGAAAAGTACAGCAAACATTTAAATATGTATTTGATAATATTTCATTGTTTGCTACTGATAATGAGTCTAAGAGACAATGTTTCCGTTGCTTGTCATGCAAAACTTGTGGTAAAATAAAAGCCACTTGTAAGCGACATGTCATATGTAAACACATCAGAGAAGAGAAATAATTTTTTTCAAAGTTTCAACTTTTTTAAATTGATTAATTAAATGAATTAATTTATTTGTTTTTTATGAATTTTCGAGAGAATATTGAGCTCAATAAATTTATGATTAGAAATAATATCCAATGGTCTAAAGTTATGTGTAGGTATTAACAACAATATTTCGTCAATGTTGGTCTGATTTATCATCAATAATGATCATTCAATAGCTGGAAACTTTTTTTAATTGTTTACAACAAATTGCTATTGTTATAAACAATATGAAGTAGGTGAGAGTCATGGGTTGTGATTGACAAGAATATTTAGTTAATATAGATCCAATCTATCAGCAGCAATCGTCACTTCATCGGTAGCAACTATTTTTCATTGTTTATAACTCATTTAAATTGTTATAAACAATATAGAGTTGTCAAGAGTCATTTGTAGTTGTGTATAACCATACTTTGTTGATGTTGACCCAATCACATATTAATATTGATCATCCAATAGGTAGAATGTGTTTCCACTTCTCCATCACTCTATTTATCTCGTAGTTTCTTTGTTATAAAAAAAAACAGCTCGACCGAATTAGTTGAAACTTCTTTGAGATCTTCTTTATCGCATTATCTTTCGAATAAAATTAGTACAAAGTCGATATCTTCATTCATTCTCGGGATTTCGTGAACGAAAAAAACCCTGACATACCTACACACATCTTCTCAAAAACTACCCAGCATTATACTCCAAAATGTGGAGATATCATGAAATTACGAGTTTCAGAAATCAACTCCACTACAACAACTTCCTTATCGCAAGTTAATAAAAAATAATTTAATGATTGAATAAAAAAATTATTTTCTTCACCAATAATTAACTATAAACCAGTTTCACTCATTATCTATTTATTTTTATTTTCATTATATTAATTAATAATCATCTTACAAAATCTATTTAATAACTTTTTTAACAAACTTTATAACAGGTATCCAAATCCTAATTTCAATAAAATATACAAACAGTGCAAGAAACAATCCATAGCTCAATCCTTTAAAAGCAAACATCAATTCAGTCATGGTAACAATATTAAACTTGGCTATATTATTCCTGTGATGAAGATCCTTGATCTTTTCTTTGGAGTAATTCATAGATTTCTGTTTCCAGAGTCTTAAAATCCCAGCTTGATTAATCAGCAGGACCAGTTTACGGAATTTATCCTCCAGGGGCCAGTCTTTCCTGGTCCTATAGACCTCAAAGTTGGTATACAGTCGTAACTCAGGCATATGAAGATCATGAATGGCCGTTGGAATCATCAAGAAACCTTCAGAAGTGATGCAAACAGCTTTAGAACTCTTTAAAACATAATCCTCGCAAGATATAGCTGGTGTTATGGTGCTTAAATTACGTATCTCTTCATCAACATACGAAGTAATAGCTTCGGCCATGTATAACTTATACTCTGGATGAGTTTTCAAGTCACTTGGTGACTTCAGATTGATTTCAGGAACTGGTTTAGTTAAAATAGCTGCAAATTCACCTTGGAAAATAGCTTGGAATGATAGATAAAAGAATAGCACTGGACCTAGGTATATTCTAGCAGGAAGAGAGCGTGGTGGTTGAATGAGTCCACCATTGGCAAGCAACCTGACGATTTCAAGTAATGCCAAGCCAGTTGGACGTCTTGAAACATATTTAAGAACCATCAGAGTCATCACTGTGATACCAGCTGTGATGAAGATCAAACTAAACCCTAGATATCTGATGATCTTCTGAAGTGTAGACATGGTTTTATTTTTCTGAACGATAAATTTAATACCGGATATCAAGTTCAGTGGAATTATTGTTGTGTTCTTCAAGTAACGCATGAACATGGAGTTCATCATGACATCCTGGTTCCCATCAGCAAGCTCTTTATACAAACCAGTTGGTTTATTATTTTCATCAATCTTCCCAGTGATTCCTGCATTATTGTAAGTCATGATGACCTTTACATTCATTGCAGAAAAAATAATCTGCATTATTTGACCATCGATACCCATCCAGTTCTTCATATCCATGTCAGTGGAATTGATGATCAACGATGGTACGACGTAAGTTCCAATAGCTTTAACTGGATAATTATTCAACTTCTTTGCTTTGTCCCAGTTTAGACTTTGACAGAAATGACAATTAACTTTATCATGATGATAAAATTGGTGAAATAGTGTCCAAGAGTCTTTGGAGTTGTTGATGAAGATCCACTTACTTGGAGCGATGTTTGTAAATGGGTTAAATGTCCATATCATCACCTGGCCATTCTCACGACACAAAAAGTAGCAAGATAATAAATTATATGTCCAAGAGAGTTTAAGAACATTGTAGACATCTTGACATGTCTCTTTGCCAATGTTATCATTCAGAATAAAAAATGGCATGGTAATATCCCACAATGGAAAAGTCCAGAGATTTTTTAAAGAGTTCTCCAAGTCTTTATAAATTCTTATCATGATGACAAATATTGCTGGACGTCTGAAGAACTGCATGATATGGAAACGATGCATTGCATTGAAGCGTAGCAGATTGAAAGACTGTTTCTCATGCAGAATTGAATGTTGAATTGTGCCGTTGATGTCACCATACAAGACAAGGTTGTAGCTGTCTTCTGAGTAGCAAGAATCAATAATATTAATACAAGCTTCACTAATATCACTGAAATTGGATATTTGCTTGTCTGCAAAAATGGAATCGATACACAAAATTTGTTGATTAAAGAAAACAGCTATAATCAACACTAACTTCTTCATTCTGATGAGAATAAATTCACTGGTGATGTGACGAAGTGGTGTGACTGAAATGAAATTCTTCAAACGTAACTGCTGAAACTAAAAGCAAACATCAACAACATCAATGATGTGGTATGTAATTTACAGTACATATAATGGGTACAAGTATTCATTACATATTTGTTCTACTGTCATTGACTATAATTTGGAGCATCGACGAGTAAATACTCCACCATCTGCTGACGAGTCATTTTTCTCATACTGCTATTTATTGGATTTGTACCAATAATGGTGGATTAGACATTTTATCGACGTTAAAAAAATCACCAACATTTCTTCTTGTCTTTAAAGCTAGACTTTACATTGGTTTCCTCCTAGAAAATCCTGAAGAGTAGCAAAATAGCTAATTAATCAACCGATTTGCCTTTATATCCATTGATTTTGGTATCAAAGTAACGTCCACTTCATGAAGAAGTTTTATATTATTGATAACTATTTAAATAAAATTTAATTGGAGAGAAAATTGCTGTTGAATAATCACCAGGTTTCTGATGCTTCATGGCCATCAAGAGAAAATAATTGATTATTTATTCTTTATTGAAATTTTACTGAAAGTAATTATTAGCCAGGGTTCTTACCAAACGCAGCAATTAGTGTTAGAAGAAGATCTAAAGGGTGCTCACTCCTGGTACTGTGTGCTCGGTGAATCACCTGAGAGTGGGACACACAAGTGTGTGGGTAGAATGAATGAGGCAAGTGTTTGGGTGCCTAGCCAGTCTAGGGACGACCTCTAAATTATAGAGAAATGTTGTCTATCATCATTTAAAGCTAAATAAACATTATATTACATCGAGTTATCTCTTCATATTTCTTCAAGATCTCAACAGGTTATGGATCCAGACATCTAAATAGTTTTGATGTATTTAATCAGATGCTTTCTGCTGCCACCAATAGGATAAAAGTTTCAAGTTTAGTCCAGTTTTAGTTTCAATAAGAAAAATCACAATGGCAATAGTCAAGCAGCACAAGAGACCTTGAAAAGCAAATAGAATATCATGTAAGGTAATTGCTACAGCTTTTGTATCAATATTTATTTCATTTAAATTAATTTCATCAGTATTTGAAAAATTCATCTCTTTTATCTTCCAGAAATTGAGCAAACCTGATTCTTCAGTGATTCTTAAATACTTCTGGAACCTTTTTTGAATCGGCCAGTCTTTTCTAGTGAATGAAGTCACTAGGAAGTTTGCTAAAACTCCAGTGGATAAATGAAAATGATTAACAGCAGCGATTTTTCTTAGATAATCTTCTGTCCCAATGCACACTGCTTTGGAGTCATTGACGACAAATTTATCACAAGCAATATCTGGTAATAAAGAAGCTCGAGCTTTGAGTTCGTCATCAAGAACAATTGATTGGATCTCTGCTATGTAAAGTTTGTAGTCTGGATGAGACTTCAGGTCTCCTTCAGTGTTTAAATTATCTTCTGGTATGGAGTTGGTCAAGAGGGCTGCAAGATTGCCTTGGAAGATAGCTTGGAATTGGAGATAGAAAAACAAAACTGGACCAAAGTAAAGTCGAATTGGGATTGTGATTAGTGGCCGTAGGAAAGCAGTGTTGCTAAGCAGTCGAATCATCTCCAAGCAAGCAGTTTCAACTGCCTGATCAGTGCCATATTTTAGAACCAGGAAGGTCATTATTGATACTGCAATGGTGACGAGGATTAATTTATATCCTAGATAACGAATAATTTTCTGGATAGTTGACATATTTTTGGTTCTTTGAACGATAAATTTGATGTCAGTGAAGTACTGGCGGAAGGTCATGGTGACATTTTTAACTCGACGTTTTAATGCTGAGTTCAACATGATATCCTGACGACCAGTTGCCAGTTCCTTAAAGAGTCCAGTTGATTCTCCATCTGAATCCACTGCACCAGTTGTTCCACTTGAATCATAAGTAAGTACTGGAGTTATGTTTAAATACTTGAAACATATCTGCATATTTTTACCATCCAATCCTTTCCAGTTATCAATCCTAGTGTCTTCTTTATCGATTGATAGGAATGACTCGACATAAGCACCCATTGCGTTGACTTTGAAACCATTTAACTGCTTGGTTTTGTCCCACTGGAAACTTCGACAAAAAGGAAGGATGTTGGAGGAAAAATTGTGGTACCTTTGATTGAATAAAGTCCAGGATGAGTTTGAACTATGCTTGAGCTGCCAACCAGGTGGAGATTTAGACATAAATGGATTAAAAGACCACATTAGGACACTGTTATTCTTATAGCAGAAGAGAAACACATGTAATAAATTATAAGTCCAAGCTAAATGTAGAAAATCGTTGGCATTTTGACATGAGTCAGTATTATCTGATGAATGCTTGAGAATAAAAAATGGTTGTTGAATGTTCCACAAGTCAAAGTTCCTCAAATTGTTCAGGTAATGATCAAGATCAGTGAGAGATGTTGAAATGATTAAGAATAACGGCTGGTGAGCATGGAGATATTTGATTTTATTCTCCATCACATCATGGTCTCCAATAATTATTTTTGTCGTGATTTCAGATCGTTCAATGGCATCAGTCACTTCATAATTAGCATCTCCATATGTAATGATGAACTGATAATTAGCTGAAAAGCAGTTGTTAATGACATTAACCATCGATTCTGACACCAAACTAATGCTAGATTTTTTTTCTTGAATGATAATTCCAGAATTTATTGAAACTATGCATTTTATACTAAGTAGAAGAATGACAAAATTAATTGATGGAATTAATTTCATTTTGAGTGAATTGAGAATTAATCCACTCAAGAATTAGAACATTACTGAAGTGGGAAAGACTTGAATGTTTTAATGGAAATGATGCTAATCTACTAGGTTATGTGTATGTAGAATTTTTTGCTCATTATGACTTTTAAACTAATGGTTTACAAATACGTATTTTAGCACGTATTTAATGTTGTTTGTGCACAATTGTGCTCGTTCGTTATTTGATGATCACCTGTCAACATAAATAAATAATGAGCCTTTATCAGCAAAGTGAATTGTATTAGTTGATAAAAAGTAACAAATAATTGCCATTGTTGACAACAAAAGGCTTGAATGGTGTCTAAATCCAATTAAATTAATGAAAACGGAATTTTTTTTTTAAATTACTATCAAATTAAAGGTTATATTTGGTGTTTATAATTTAAAAGAATACTGACATCTTGGAAATTGAATAATAAATTATCAAAACATGGCAGGTGTATAATCATACAATAAATTACCACTTTAACAACACTAGAAAATATTTATTATTGTTTCACACCTCTATAATTGACAATTACTTACAAAATCTTATTCAATTCACTTACATGCAAAGTTTATATCATTTTATTTAACATTATTATCATTAGAAACATATTATTGAAGTAGTAGCTTCGTTCACATCCAAGTCGATATTTTTAGTAAAATTATTAAACACCATGCTCGACAATTTTATATATTAAAATAACAATTGAAGTAATGGCGGAATAAAAAAGAGTGAAGCAAGATTCAAGAAAATACTTCAAAGTGCATTGTTTTGGTGTATGAAAATAACAGAAAATAATTCTTGAATACTTCAGACTATCAATAAATACCAAGTTTCAACTCAATCGAGTTTTTTATTGAAGCAATTCAATCAAATCAAATTCCATCTATATCTGTAATAATTAATTAATTAATTCCGGCTTCAATGGTTTCGGCTTGACTACAATTCTTCGAATATTATTGCGAGCTTTTTTTCTCTTAAATGTCATATATTTTTTGAGAAAATACAATCTAATTTTTCGATGATATTTTTTACTAATTGTAAGCTCAATAAAGAAACACACAAGTCCGAAGGTATTTCCAATAATTAAAAAAATAAATGAAAATCTTAAATCATTAAGAGTTATTTTTCGAAAATTTATTTGTGAGAGAATTTGGTGTTTCTCGATTGATCTTTCAATTTTATAGTGTTCCTTTTTGTATAATGTATGTACAGCAACATCAAATAGATAAGTTGTAGCCCATTGAAACTGTTCTTGTAAGAAAAATCGACGTCGAACTATAAGGCCACCTTTAATGTCTCCAAATTCATTTTTACTCATATGAATTTTTCCTAGAAAACCTTTCAATTTAAATACAAATACTGAATCCTTTTTGTTTATTATACAAACTGAAGTCTTATCTGCAATGAAGTGCTGAATAAGATCATAAGGATCTCTAAGATACTTTCTTTTTCTGTTAATAACTTCATTTGTTAATTTATTATCATCATTATAGAAGCCTATATCATAAATCGTTGTAATTCGAGGATTCAATAGATCTTCAAGGGAGTCTATGGTGTCATGGATTTCAGGTATCGTAAGAAACCTCGGCAAATTTTCACTGAAAGTTGCATGAATTACCGTAAAATACAAGAATATCATGCAAAAGAATATTTTCAGTGATAAAGTATTGATTGGAATTTCAACTCCTGAGTTTATCAGAAGTCTAAGGACATTGAAAGCCGCCGAAGCTGCATTCCTATGAGATTTCAAGTATATCACGACAAAAGTAATGATTAAAATCATAATCAGTGATATTAAAGTCCAAATTCCATAAAACTTGTATATTTTTTCAAGAGGTGTAGCTTCGGCTGATTTAAAAGAAAGAATAATAAAAGTGTCGTAGTAATCAGGATTCAGGTATGTAATCAAATTGTTATAGACTAAGGCTTGGCCATGTGACGTTATATCGACATGAGTTTTAATCCATAGTAGTGGATATAATTTATCAGCATTATGGCCTTTTTTGTATAAATACGATTGTATATAAGCTGCAAATGTAATGTTCAATACTTTCCCAATAAGCAAAATTGAGGGGAGTAGAAACTCTGTTTTTAATTTATTCATATCTTCACGATAGATAAAGTCTGGCACCATTTCTGACTCTGATGTTACCTTTCTTTGACATCCTACTAATATGTCGATGTTTTCTGACGGCATTTGGCGATAAAAGTTCAAGTTACGGCATAAATCTATAACGGAAATATTATTATTTATTTTTATAGGAAGAAAGAAGACAATGGATAGTCAAAATATAGAAAAGAGTACCTATATTGTATTTACGCAAGTAGAAACTTCCAAGATACAAAGAATCAACTTTCCACGACACATGGGTCCAATAAGGTTGTTGAATATTTTGATATTTATCTTGTGTCAAAACTATCGGACCGTATTTCTTGTCATCACAAATATAGTAGATCACCTCATAATATGCGTGTCCCAATCTCGCGATAGCATCACGTGCATGATCACAAGATCGTGGCACTTTTGATAAAAAAATCACTTTACAAGTTTTTACACATTGCCAATTTAGCATTATACGCCATATTATTTTGACCAATTCTTCAGATTCGCTGAATACAATCACATATCCATTAATAGTTGTTAGATTTCTAAATTTTGTATACCCTGTGGTGGATGTAAGAATCCAGGATTTCGGATTTTTAGAAGATGACATTTTCAACAAATCTTCAGTCAGATCCGAATGATTTCCAGTATAGTATATGGTGTTCTTAAACCCAAGGTTACATATTCCAAGTAACAGAATCTAGAAATATTTGCATTATTGAATTAAATGTCAACGAAAATATTTTAACAAACTCTTACCAACATTCTTTCAGTAAGAGTTAAATTTTTCCATGATGAGTTGGGTAGGATCCTAGAACTGTCACCAAATATATTGGAAAATAATAACATTGAAATAATTAATTGCGTTATTATTGATACAAATTTCATTCCTTCTCAATACGTCTGTCATTGACTGCAATTTGATTCGGTTTACGTACGTGCATCGTTTTTTTTCTTTATCGATCCATATTATAGGTGGAAAAAATATTATTTAAATAATAGATTATTTACATTTTATCAGAAAAATATATCAATTAGCACCCAAGTAATTATTTCCAAGGAAATTTTTCTGCTCTAGCCAATATAATTTTATTCGCTGAAATATTATATGTAATTTCCACGTGCATGGCCAGTATTTGTCATTTTTTTCTATCATGATTATAATAATCATGTTGTTAAGGTATTAGAGATTGTTTAAACACCAGTTGATCTATCAGAAACATTATCTCCTGCATGGAGTTAAATACTTTAATAGATTGGCCATGGAGTTAAATTTTCTTGCCTCTTATTGTCATGCACAAATGAAACATTGTATTTAATTTTCACAATTTTCTAATACCAACAAGTCATATTCCTTTAATAAATTTTATTTTGCAGATGAACTGCATGCTCATCTTCCTATAATTATGCATTGGATTTCATACTTGTTTGACGATTTTTCCTTTCTCCTTTTTTTGTTTTTTTTCTTTTAATAACAATCTTGAGTAATCTTCTAACATTTTTGAGTAAGATATTTGATTGTTATTTAAGGAATATATTTATTAAAATAAATTGATTAATATTAAATAGTTGCAATTAATTATTTAGTTGATTTAAAGAAAAATTGATTAATTTAATTATTTATTAAAAATAATTGTAATTTTATTGAAGTAGTAAAGTTCTTTTTTTTTTAAATACTAGAATAATTAAAACCATAGTAATTAAATAACAATTATGACAAAATATTGAAGATCATTTTTATTTACTTAAAAATAAAAAATATTTTTTTGCATTTTATTTATTCCTTTTTTTTAATTAAAAATTTAAACCTTCATTGATATTATTTTTGCATTTTAATTTAGACAGTCTGTCCATCTATTGATTTAATTACTTTAAAAATTCTATGCACAAATTGAAAAATAATTATTTAGAAATATTTTAAATAGAACTTAAATAAATAATTAATTGCAACTATTGATTGAAATTATTTATCAATTTTAATAAATATTTGTTCTTGTTACTATTATTCATTATTCATTATTCATTATAATCATTATTTCAGTTTTTAATGGTTACTTAACGTCAGTAGTTGATGCTAATTATCAAGAATTGAAAAATAAGACTCAATAGAGAGCAATTGATGCATCACCAAGAGTACCATGAGTTCATCAAAGACAATTCATTCTTTTAATAATTTACAATTTATAATAATAAATTTTGATATTAATTACACTGAGTAAATAAAGAATCTAAAAAGCAAAAGAAAATTATTATAAAGAGACCAAAGTAATAATTTCTACATAAATAAAAATTCAAAATCATTTCCAACTTTACTTACATTTTATTCATGACAAAAAGAAAGATAAACAAAAATATAAAAGAATAAGTTTACATAAAAAAATCATATATTTTCTCTTCAATTTGATTGGTAATAATAAATTTAATTTTTCCACTCAAAATTCTTTCTGCTCTTTCGCAACCAGTTGGTCCCGATTTAGATTTATCAATGTATGGGGCTTCAAAAAATCCAGCATCTGAATCACTTTGCTGCAGCTTTTTATCAGGATCTTGATAAGTCATACAACTTTGATAATTACATTGACATTTGTAAATATCAAACTCAATTACAAGATCTCCTTCTTCAGCACATTTGGTTTGATCATCCATCAGTTCTTTTATTTTTTGAAGTGACTTCAAGAAAATTGGCTTAACTTGTTCTCTATTATTTTCCGAGCATAAAAATCCATCAAATAAAATGGAATGGCAATCCATGGTGGAGACAATGCTGATAAATTTCCTATGCAATTTAACATCACAGATAATATGTTCACTAAATTGAGCAGTGAAATGAAAATGTCCGTCATGTTTCTCCAAATAATCACTTTCCACTTCCATATTATAAATCAGCATACTATTATTGAAATCGAATAGACAATCACGTGGTGCTTTTTCTTTATCATCAATGAAGAATTGAATGTTTTTTAGAGACTCCATTATTTCTTATTTACAATGACTAACCTCAAAAATAATTTTTATTGTTTACTTCAACTTTTGATGATTTCAATTAAATATTAATTAATTTATCAATTAGATGGAATGTATATTTGAGATTAATGGTCTTAATTGTGATGAAATCGTTCAACAGTCGACAAGACTTCAGGTGTTGTCATACAAAGGTTGTGTTGAACTATGAAAAACATTTCTCAAAAGTTTCGGTGATTTCATTATCCCCACTAATAAGCTTTTATTACATTTCTATAATTCACATCTCTCTGACTTGCATGTCTATTGAATTATAAAACTATTTATTTTGATAACTGATGCCCCACCAAATCGAATCATCCAGTTGCCAATTTTCATCAAGTGCGCGCATCGTTTGAACAGAAGGTTGCAAGATGGCGTTTCGCGGTAATTTGAGTCCACCAACCAGTATTAAGTGTGCAACAAGTGCTTTTGTCGTGATTTATTAGCATTTAATTGTTTATTATCAAATTTACAATTATTTATACCCTGTTAATTAAAACTTTTTTATTTTTTTTTAATTATTAACCTCAAAAAAGTAAGACTTATCATCAATTAATTTATTTGTTTTTAATAATTCAGTATAAACTACCGGCTTTTTTTTGTTTAACCGTTACATTTTATGATTGTTTTGATTATAATATTGTTATTTAGCACAAAAACAAAGTCATTTAATGTGAAAATATTCTACAAAGTTTATTTTATTAATAATTATTCATGATTTTTTCTCGAGATTCCATAAAAAGCTCATTCTTCATTTGGAATCATTGGAGATGTTTTTGAAGATTGCGATTGTTAAAATTTTAAATGTTAATTAAGAGAAAATAATATGTTAAAATAACACGAAAGATCGTAAATCTGATTAGCATTGATAGATTCGTGTTTAATGTTGAATTAAATTGGACCTAAAGATAACGAAATGATTTGGACGTATAGTCGATAGGTTTGAAGAATCTCAATATGTATCAAATCATCCAGTAATTTGATACTACCCAGATAATAAATAAGGGTATTATGTTAATACACATACAGTTGATGCAGAGAATTGATTGGTTATATTCTAAATCTGCAGTCACGGTTCATTCCATCAACAGAAATGAAATAATTATAAAATGAACAAAAAAGATTGTTTATCGACTGGTTTTATTGTTAAATAATAAATAATTATTAAATAGTATTTATCATTTATTTTCAAGGTGATAGTTTCAAGATGTTTGATTGCTGCTGTATTTGCCTTTGTATTTCTCTGAAGAAAGGATCATTGATCTTTGGAATCATTAATCTGGTAAGTTGATTTATAATTTCAATCATTCATTTTAAAAATGTAATCATTATTTTTATTTGAAGGTCTTATCATTAGCTGTACTGATATGTGCTCCAAAAGCTGATGAAACATCACATCTAGGCTATCATTCTGATCATGTCCGGTCTTTTCAAAGACAATGTATTTACATCTTCTCAGTATTGACGGTTGTCGTGTCAACACTATTAATAATCGCAATTATTAAGGTATTTTCATTGCTCCGGGCTGTACTGAAAAAAAAGACTCAGAGCCTTTCGAAAAAAATTAATATTTCTTATTAAATATAAAAAACAGAAGAAGATTCACAAAAGAAGGTATATATTCCTATTTTATATGAGAATTTAGACTGGAATTATTAATAATAATTTATTTTTTTCAGGAAAAGTATTTTTTTAATTAAAATTTAAAGAACCGTTTTTGAATGAATGATAAAAAATGTAGTCTAGTATTCAATTATTATTGATTTAAATCGAGAAAAGAATGAACATTGATTTCGAATAACTCGAGTTCTAAATAGCAAATCAATTATTTTCTTTAAAAGAACTCTTTTATTTTCTAATAATCTTTAATTTTGATTTAGAATAAAAAAAGTTTGAAGAAAAAATTAATTTCAATTGGGACATTTTAAAGTGAAGAAAAATAAAGTAAAATTGTAATTAAGTTCACAAGAAAGTAGTGAAACTGCTGGAGCAATTTTTAATTTTATTATTATTTTTGTTGATAATTGACGAATTCTACATAAATAATAATAATAATAATAATAATAATAATAATAAAAATAATGAGACACTGTGTCCAACATAAACGTTCCATTCAAAGACACAATTATGTACTAATCATGAATTTACAATTAATGCATTTTTATTTCATTTTATTGATACATAAAGTCATAAATGAACGACTTATTTTTCTATCCTTCAATGTTTATACTTTGAACAAAAACAAAAAATTCTATTTAGGTTCTATAACATACTGTGTAATACAGTGTTTTATTGTGCCCCTAAAAGAAAAGCACCCTACAACAAAATGGATGAACCACCGACGACCCTTATACAACTTAAAATCAATAATAATTTACAATATACAGTAACCCAACTAAAAAGAAGCTTTCGAAAACATCTTTTGGGTTCAGATGAAAAAATGTCCATTTTCTATTTGATATTTTTAAAGTTGTCTTATAAATATCCAAAAAGATGTCTATTTCTACTTATCAAATTTTATTCAAACATTTTATTGATCTAAAAATGAATTTACACAAACATTTTTTTGATGAATTTTATGAAAACTAATTATTAATTTCAAATAGATATTTAGTTGAAAAAAAATAACAAATGATTGTCGTTCTTATTATTATTACAATTGTTATCATTTCTTGTTATTGGGTTAATTATTGATTAAATTAAAAATTAATTGAAATAAAATTATTCAAAATAATATTAAATATTAATAAAATTAATTGAAAAATAATTATTTTATAGCTTCTAGAAGATATAAAGTGTGAAAGTGTTTCACTATTTTCTTTCCAACTTAATATTCAATCAATTAAAAGAAGCAAAAAGAGAATTGATTTTATTTAATTTTACTTGGCAGATGAACTCCAAATTAATACTAGCCTTTTTATGGATTGGGTTCACGCAATGGGTATTCTTCTTGCCTGTGTGTATAACATTTATCATAATGGCAAGTACATCCTCAGGATCATCAGAGGATGTATTGTGGACTGGTGTTGAATTTGTTATAATTCCAAGTAAGAAGACATTTTTATTTTACTTTACAGATAATGTTAAATTCCATATTTGGTAATTAAATCATTTTTTTTCTTCCAGTTATCCAATCTTCTTTTTTACTGATAATTCATCATTATTATCAAGAGTTATTAAATCAAGCAGATCGTAGAGCTGATTATGAACCAATAGAATAACCACGAATATAATTTTATTTCAAGTTAAAAAAAATCTTGAATTGATTTTTCTTTTAACTTTTTCTACAGGCAAGACTATTTTTTTTTATTTCCTTTATTTTTTTCCTTCTTTTCAATTTTGAGTTTCAACTTTATTGATTAATATTCAAAAGGATATTTTAATTCTTATCAGATTACTAATCCATTAAATTTTAACATAAATAATTATTTTCCATTACAATTTTATCCATGAATAATTTATATGAGACATTTTTACTTACATTCAATTTCTTAACTGATATTATTGCATTCACTGTTTTAAACATCTGGAGTTTATTTATATTGCACATGCCATATTTAAAATTAATGAATTATTTTTAAATAATTATAATAATAATAATAATCCAATAGTTATCGATACATATAAATATATATTAATTACTAATTAATATTGTTATTGATATAATAACAATAATTTAGCTAGTGTAATTAGATTTAAAGTGAGTATACTTAAAATTAAATAAGAAAGAATATTTAATTTATAAAATGATAATGAAGGAATTAATGTATAATAATCAATCATTTTTATAAGATTTATTTTAATAAATGTTCTAGTTTTTATGTGATATCATGATAAATCAAAGATTAATTTACTACTCACTTTCGAAATTGACGTGGTGACTCAGTAATTACAAAACCAAATTTATCAGCAAATCAATAAAAAATATTTTAGGTCAGTTGCATTAAGTAGAAATTTATAATAAAGAAATAAAAATTATTTATTATTGTAAAATATTAGTATGATAGTACTTAAGAATTAACAGGATAATGATTATTTGCACAGTTAAATATAATTTTGGCAAAATATGGATTTTTAAAAATTAGGCAGCTGTGGCATTGATTTAAAAATAATATGAATGACTCTGATAAAATATTAAATTTATTTTAATATAAATAGAAGCTTTAATTAAAATTATGAATATTACTATTTAGATGAAAATTGATATAAATAATCATAAAAATGTAATTGAAAAGTAATTGTATACATTTTGTTTTTTAAGTAATTGGATAATTTGAAAATTCAAAGGACGTACAAACTTGATAAAGTTTAAACGCAATGATTAATGAGCTGCGTACGCACATCAAAATTTGGTAGATGTTGACGCAGCTTTTGAACTAAATAAGAAAACAACATTGTAACATCAATTTTGGGCCAGAAGTGCATCATAGCTTGAAGCAAGTGTTTGTGGTGTGATTCATCAAAATGTTTTCATTAATCGATAAATTATTTTTTGGTATGTGGTGGATTTTAAAAACTGTCTTCACTATAGACAGGGAAGCACCACGTAAGAATTATAATTATTTTTTAATATTTATATTTTTAATATAATTATTTTTGATGATTTAATTTAAGCTATTAATTTTTGTGAAATTATTGATTTGCTTGGATAAGTTTAAGTATTTATGAAGCATTTTGAAAAGTTTGGTAAAAATATTATATTTTTTTTGTTTGAAATAATGTGATTTTTATTTCAGAAAAATAAAAAATATTTTTTGATGCTTGAGATCTTGGAAATAATCGATATTCATAGTCATTATTGGAGACGTTTTATTGATTAGCAGTCGGAAAAATTATTGTATAAAAAATTATTATGGATTTGTAGTACTAGCAGACTATCTCCTAAGTTTCAGTAAATTTGATGAAATACCACTTAAAAAACTCTTTGGTCATTATGAATTTTTGCTAAAGACTATAGTAAATTCTGTTACGGGTTGGTTATATACAAGTAAAGAAAAAATTTTCCATTGATCTGAGCTTGAAAATACTATAAACCACCGTAAAAAGTTCAATGGCCGAACATCCATTTCTTCATACATTTTTATTTTTCTTATTTGAAAATCAATAATCAAATTTAAGTTGAAACTGGCCAGATATTATTACATCCTATAGTAAAATTTCGTTTGAATCTGTAGAAAAAAAAATATAGGGGAAGGGAGGGTGATGTGAACCACACGGGCAAAGTGAAACCCTCGAGAAAATGTACTAATTTATTGGAGTAAATTTGAAAACCTCTATTGCACTTTTTGTTTATGAATTTTTCAATTTATTAATGCATTAAAAATTATTAACATTTGTTAATATTATGGTTCATTTATTGACTTACGTGTTTCACTTTACCCCACCTTCCCATAATATTTCCTCCGTGCAGAAAACTCATAAATCCACCAACATCTTTTATTATATATGTATGTATTATGTGTGGTTGTAAATATTGGAAATTTTCTATTATGTTCGACTTTAATAAAATTAGAGGTATCTAATCCAGTAGATCTTTAGTAACATTCCATTGTAATTATCAGGAAAAATCATATCTTATAATAAACCGAAAGAAACTATTGACCTACTGGTTTAATTGCCTTACACAACATGAATAATTATCCTCTAATTTTTTCTGTTATTTATTTTTAGTTGTGGTTGATCTGATTCTAAGAGGACGTGTGCCTTTACGCAAGTTAATATGTTACACGGGAATTATCAATGTGGTAAGTATAATTACTTTAAAATTTTCATTGTCGAATTATATTAATAAAATTAATTAACATTTATGTATTTTTGAAGTTATTCAATGTTTGATAATCAAACAAAATTAATTAATCTCCTATTCGATTCTATTTGTAAAAGAGAATAAAGTAATTCAGCGTCAATGGGTATAGTTTGTAACATTGAACCCAGAAATAAATATATTAAAACATTAATTACTACTAATTCATAATTAGCGACATCATCTAGACATTAATAATTTATTATTTAAAAAAAAAGTACAACTTTATAATATTGGATTGGTAAGAAAGTCTTGCAATACAGACACCTTTTTCAAGTAAACGTAAGTTGTTATCGATACAGGATTTGTTGATAATATAGTTTCCGTCTGTATCTAGAACTCGCTAGACTTTTTTACCGACCGAAAAGTTATTATAAAATGGCTAACCGATAAAAATTAATCATAAAAAATAATAATAAGGAATATTTAATTAATTACTAACTTTCAACGCTTGGATAATGTTATTGTTATTATTATTTACAGATAATGTGTATAGGATTGATTATATTACTTTGCCTATGTCCTGGATACATAACGGCTTCTGAATGGGGAGAGGAAGATGATTTCGTGAAGATGGATGTTGTATCGGGTTTTTTTCACGCAGCAATTATGAATGCAGTATGTTCAATTATAGTGGCTCTGATATTTGTTTATGAAGCTTACAAGGTGAGTAAAAATAATATCAATATCAATAAATACAACATTATTTAAAACGTGACTCCAATGATAATTGAATGTTTTAAACACTTATGAGTGCATTTAAATTGACTACTATATTTATCGAATGTGTTACGTGATATTAAAACACTTTTTAATGTGTGATTTACAGTAAATGGAAAAGAAAAAATGCAAATTAATTTTATTTCATTCTGTTTTGCAGTCAAAGATTGAGTGGACAAAACGACTTCTAATTTTTGGATATGCAAATGGTTTTGCAATGGGTCCTACATATGTGATATTTACATTAATACTTTATTTTTACCCAATACGAAGAAATGGCGAAATGCACAAATATATTCTTGAAGTTGTCATTTCATCAGTTATGAACATGATATTCTTACAAGTAGTTGATCATTTTATGGCTGAGGAAGAAGAAAAAATGTATGAAGAAGAAGAAAAAATAAAGGCAGAAAAAGATAAGATAAAAGGAGAAGAAGACAAAATAAATGGAGAAAAAGATAAAATAAATACAGAAGAGGACAAGAGTTCAACGATTCAACAAAATACGACATCAGATGATGTATCTAAAAATCCTGAGATGTCGATTCGTAAAAGACAACGTGATAATGATACAGAAGAAAGTTGTATCACTGAGTCATAAATGAATCGGGATCTTTTGTCTTAAGTATACTGATGTGAATTTGATGATTAAGGTATAATATTGTAAAGTACATGTGACTAATCAATATGATTTAAATTGAATAGTTCATTCAAAATGACAGGAAAAATTCGAAGGAAGAAATAAGATGTCTCATGTACACACGCAGAGAAATGTATAGTAAAAATTACCCTGAATTTTATAGTAATTTGGTGATACTGCAGGGTAAGGGTGAAAATTACTATACACATTATAAAAATTACTGTGCACATTGTAAAAGTTACTAAACTGCATAGTAATTTTTACTCGAATTTTATTTTAAAAATTACTATGCAGTTTAGTAATTTTTATAATGTGTATAGTAATTTTTATCCTCACCCTGCAGTGTCACCAAATTACTATAAAATTCAGGGTAATTTTTACTATACATTTCTCTGCGTGCACTAGTCTTAACCATAAACTAATTGGTTCATGTTTATGAAAAAGAAAACACCAATTATTTATTTTCAATTTCAAATACGACCCATGTTTAAAAAATTTATGATTGAAAACTTTATTTAAAAAAAAAATCTATTCCAATTGGTAATTCCTCACATGGTACATGAAAGGCAATAATGAATACGAGTGTACTTAGTGTACTTATACACTTCTCCACACTGTAAATCCCAGACGTCACCCATTTGATTAACGTTGTAGTCACTTTTTAGACACTTAGACCTGCGTTAAAAGTGACTACAATGTTAACCAAATGGGTGACGTCATATTTAGTACACTTATCCGCATTAAAAAAAAGCATTTTGAAAAACGGGGATTTACAGTGCAGGCCTCCTTAAAATTTCCTCCTGAGAATTTCTAAAAGTTGAGTAAAAATATTGGATTAAGCTAAAATAAAACGAACATGCAAAATCTCAATCAAATGATAAGAATCTTATTATTCAAAATTATGCAAATTGATGAAACAATTAGAATGACATACAACTACTTTACAATATTTTTAATTTATATATATATAATCCTTTAAGAAATAAAGATGTATGTAGATTCATAATGTTCACTTTCATCAATTTCATCAATCAACATTTATATAGATTAATTCGAGTGTGATTTTTGCATATTTATCATTATATATTGTATACTGACAATCAAATTTGTGTTCACATTACTATTAATATCAGTAATGAATGTTCAATAAACATAAATAGTTACTAATTGACTCAGGGTAATTTATATCGATGTGAAATACATGTTTATAAAAATGAATAATTTGGTAATAATTAATATCTGAAATAAATATAAACATAAATTTAAAAAAAATGAAGATTCGAATTTGTTCACAAGTATCCTGTCGAATCCATAGATTTACTTAGATCAAATTTTCTTCAGTTTTTTAGATATGAGTCGATCGAATTAAATTTAAAAAATGGCGGATATTTGATCTCCAAAATTAAAAACAATCATGACACAAGTGAATACCAGTAATTACAGATAAACTGTAAAAATATTTCTGATGAAAAACCTTCATAACTGTCGGAAAATTAAAAAAGCCTAAATCTGAACCTTTAATGTAATATTAGAGTATAAATTGTTTCTTATTAATTATAAATACATTCACGAATGCAATTCGAAGTAATTTAACAGGATTATTTAAAAATGAATTATATTGAAAAAGGCTTTTCAAATTTAAGATTGTTTCATGGGAATTGAAGTCATAAATCCCCTATTGTTTACCTATCAGCCAGTACAATTAAAAACACAAAAATCTTAGAGTCATTAATTACTAAGTAACAATAAATAGACTCCAGATTCCATTGAATTTGGAATTTCATAAATGAAAATTCGGCTCTATGCAGCTGTCGAATACGAAGTCATCGTCCTCACATTGAAGTCATAGTACGAAAATCAACTCCATACAAAGTTATCGAATTTTAATTAAATATTAAACAGTTGATGATTGTTTTCATGAAAATTTTAATGAAATCAAATTTATGAGCTTAAAAAAAATAGAATGTGTTATGGACTCATGAAGGAATCAATTAGGTTTGTGACAGGTTCAATGCCAGAATCGATCACTGAATAAACAACACAAGAAAAAATCGGTAAAGCTAATTTCGGCCAAAAATAGACCATTGTTTTTACAATAGTGGAGACATTATTAAGTGGTATCAAATTAAAGCATCTTAAACTTTGGGTAGTACTTGGATCGATAACTGCGTTGTTTATCTTGAAATGAAAATATTGGATCTGTTTGTTTGTACTAAAAAGAAAAAAACTATCTAAAAAGTGGTCTGTTTTAATAATTTTTGCCGAAAATGGATTAAGTTCCTTTCGATCAGGAATCTTATAATAGACTTGTTGACTTTTTCTTTTTAATTAATCTCTCTAATTGCTCTTAAGTTTCATCATTCTACTCTCTATGGTCTTTGGCTATGCGCGGCGTCGATCTCTATTTATGTTTGAGCTACCAAATATTTCATGATTTTTAATTATCTTTTACCTTCTTCGCACTGTTTAAGTACCGTTTGTTTCTACCGAGCCGCAAACTTAAACTTTTATTTAATTTGGGAAACTAAAGAGAGATACATTGGTTACATAAAAGACCATTCTATCTTCTAAATTGGATGAACCGAAATTAAGTTGGTGATAAACAAGTCGCTCCATCTTTGATACTGCGAAAGACTTAATTGCATTTGTGTTTATATTTGTCATTTATACTAACATTAAAATGTAGATACAGTACTACTCTTCGTCCCTAGTGATCGGAAACTCGACTGTGACTTAACATCTTTGCCAAACAAAAAATATTTCGGCATAAAATTATCAATACACTTATTGATATGACGTCAACAACTTATAATAAAGATTGAGAGTTTTTATTGAATTAGTTTTACACGCTTTAAGACTTTAGGTACACAAAATTGAAAAGTCTAGATAAATTAAATTCATTTTTGGGAATGTAAGTTGTCAGATATTTTTATCTAGCTATTTTCACATTAAATGTTAGATCAGTCAATAGTGTTTTAAACCTCAGATCGGCCGATAATATGCTACTCGTAAATAAAAGCTATTGTTGGGCTCTCATGAGACCTTAATCAAGCATCAAATTTATCATAACAATTTCAATAGTCCCTTGGTACATCAAATCACAATGTCTATTCGGCTATATTAATAATCGGTGATCCATATCATTGGAGTAAGTCGTCTGAGAAGTTAGTATCCGTGGAATTTTTAAAAAAGAGGACGAAATCATCCAATCAGAGATTTGACGTCCTTAAAGTCTAACCGAGAATTCGGGTCCAATTAGAACCGAAAATTTTATTCCATGTTTTTGTCAAACAATGCCTTAATTTAAAAGGTGTGATGATATTTATTATTCTCGTGATTAGGCTACAACACTACATCAGGATTGGGCAATAAAAACTCCTCAGTATATCCTCTTCTTTAATTTTACAATTTTCTTTCAATACAAAGACTGCAAATGGATTTTTTCTGCAAACGCCATCCGATGTCTATTATATTGTTATTTACAAATATTTTGCAAACCTGATCAGAAGTTGTTGTGCAGCTGGGTATCGAGTGAAATTGGTCCGGAGATAACATTATTTGTTCACAATACACACGAAATGAGAAAATGTTAATGAAAAAGCCGAAAACAATCTATTGCAGAAACCGAACTCTTGTCTTGCAATGAAGCCGAATCTTGAGACAATAGAATGGGTTATTTTATCGGTGTACATTTTGTATTAATTAGAGCAAATGATAGATGAGATGTCACTCAAGGACGGAAAAATGATATCAAATAATAAATTTAAAGGAATCTCCAGACAAAAAAAGGACAAAATGTTTTAGAAAATCCTTCAATAAATTAATAACAGCTATTAGGTTATCAGTTGCGAGGATGCACACTTGGTAAAAGTCCAGTCTAACGACCAAATGGACTGTTTATTTGAAGCTGACGTTTAGTCGCTCAAATTTTTATTAAATACAAACTCATAATGGAGTTCAATATTTGAAGGATTAGGAAATCTTATAAAACCCCACTTGGTTTTCCTCGTGTGGTTACCAAAATTTAGTGATAAGAAAAAGCCTAAGAATGTTAAATTATGTTGCTAATCTTCTCAATTTCGGCAGAGCCGAAATTATATAAAGTAAATGGCTGGGTCAAACTTGTTTTAGCGTATAAAAACAATTTCCACGTAAAATGTTTCGGTAAAAAGTCAATCAACTTCAGTTTGGGATACAACAAAAGACTCTATAATATTTTTATTAAGCAATATCCAGTATCTCTAGACAAATTATAAAGAAAAAGGGGATAATCTCGAGATAAAAAGCATCATTTTAAGGGCTAGCTGTTCATTTCAATTTTACACATCAATATTTGAACTTTCATAATAAACTGCAAAATCTTTGTATTATACATGCTAATCTATGATTCAGTGTTAATATTAAGTTTGTAAAGGTATAAATATTTCTAAAAGTTGCTAATGCATTACACATTTTGAAATATCTCACTTTATAAGAAAGAATCACGACTTAACTTACCTTAATCCTCAAAGGACTTCCAATTTTCAGGAACGTTGTTTCAAAAATATAATTATACGAATAAATATCAGACATCGAAATCGAAGACGCTTCTTTTTTTTTGTCTCTTAGCTTCAAATAATCTGTTTTAAGATGTAATGCTATATCTACTCCTCGTAGTGTATAAGACTATTTCATCCTCGAAATGAGAATTCATTCAGATATCTTAAATATACTATTTTCAGACATAGGAGAGAGTAAGCCAATTGTGAACGTCCAAGGGAGAACTGCAATAAAACAAAAGTAGTTAAAGTTATGAGCATGTTTTATTATGGAAAGTTTACTTGAACTCATAAAGCTTAAGATTTTACAGTCAACGTTGATGAATTTTCAATAAAAAATTAAATATTTATAAATAAACAAAATCTTGGTGTCCGAGATTACCCCACAGCACTCCATAGATTAAATTTGTCACATTTTATCCAATTGTCATTGAGAGGATCTTCATGCTTTTCGTTGCATTGTTAGACACCTATTCCATTTTACTCCAAAATTAAGTCACTCTCCCCTAAAAATAATCGGCTACATTTTCGGCAATAAAT